AAAAGAGAAAGTGGGCGTGCGTCGACCAATAGACTACATCAAGAACAGGGAGCACACGTCATCGTCTCCGCTGCGTCATGCACATTACGTCATCGCGTCTACGTCATAATAGGTACGTCATCAGCGCCTACGTCCGCATCAGGCCATCGGGGTGAACTTGGCGAACTGGGAGAAACGGTCACTAAAATACAAGCACGAATGGCAAGAGCAGAATAACGACAAACGTGTTACAGTCGACCGGCGCCGTTAGCGGCCACCTTAAAAACGGCACCTGCTCATAGAAGGACAGTTACTAAGTTTCTAATAAGAGGTAATCACTGAGACGCATCTAACGAACGGAACACCTGCTAATAACAGGACAGCTTAACTAAGTTTACGGATTGTGTTTTTGTGTTTTTGTTTTGGTTGTGATTCGGTTCTCTGTCGAAAGATGCATACGACACACGATAGGGTATGGCGTTTCTTCTTCGTCGTCGTCGTCGTCGTCGTCGCCGCCGCCTCCTCCTCCTCCTTCTTCTTCTTCGTCTTCTTAGCTCATCTGACGAAGTCAGATGCAGCTTGTAGAATCGCATGATCGTCCGTCCGTCCATCAACAGTTGGGCACAAATCTTAACCGCTCGACGTACTGTGACGATATTCGGGACGTCGGGGGGGGGGGATTGTGAAAAGGACTCGGGATGACCAATTTGAGGGTCAAAGGTCAAGATGTGTCAACGGAGTGGGAATATTTCCCCTTTAACTTAAGGTATAGGAGGAAATACGAAATTGCGGCACAAATCTTAACGGCTCAACGCAGTGCGAAATTGGAGGTCACAGGTCAAAGGGCAGTGGGGGAAAGGTCAGATATCAGACATTTTCTGAGGACATGCCTAACGGACAGAGTGAACAACTTTTTTGTTTCAGCACTGACCTACCATTTTTATCACTTTATTGAAAGGACCATGAAATGTGCTTTCCACTGACGTGCGAAGAGCAAGTGTCTGATAACCTTTTGACCCTCAAGAGGAGGGTTAAACATGGATTTCTTGACTGTTAACAAAGGACTGAACTGCTTTTGCTATTATTAGAGCCCATACCTGTGTACTAAGATAATTATAAAATAATATAATAGAGCAACATATGTATACATATATGTATACTACAAGTGTGGCGTAATATGTATAGAAGATGAAAGAGCAGAAGTACACAAAAGCAAGCCACGATATGGGGGTGTAAACGCTACTCTGAGCGATGTGGCTGTTAAGGGCTGGACACACTAGGTGATTAAATTTGGCGACTAAATCGCCGGTGAAATTGCCTAGTGCAGTGGTTCCCAACCTTTTGGACTCCCCGTACCCCTAATTTTTTTACGCTATCTCCTGGTACCCCTTCGCCCACCATAAGCAAAATGAATAACCAACACTGATGTATTGTCATGAAGATTTTGACATCATGTTTATGTTTTATTAATGCAGTCACACAGCGAATTTTTCTAATCAAGCGCACTAACAGTGCACTAAACGACAGTTCAATGAGAAGACTGCTGCTGCATGGCAGAAACTAACTTTTTGATACGCGGTTCAGTTTTTGACAGACTGACTCTCATGTCTCTGCGGATGTCAAGGCGGTTACGGGCTTTTGTCTTGATTGTAACCATCGCTGAAAAGCCTATACGGATTGTGTTTTTGTGTTTTTGTTTTGGTTGTGATTCGGTTCTCTGTCGAAAGATGCATACGACACACGATAGGGTATGGCGTTTCTTCTTCTTCATCGTCGTCGTCATCGTCGCCGCCTCCTCTTCCTCCTCCTCCTCCTTCTTCTTCTTCTTCGTCTTCTTAGCTCATCTGACGAAGTCAGATGCAGCTTATAGAATCGCATGATCGTCCATCCGTCCGTCAACAGTTGGGCACAAATCTTAACCGCTCGACGTACGGTCACGATATTCGGGACGTCGGGGGGGAGGGGGGGTTGTGAAAAGGACTCGGGATGACCAATTTGAGGGTCAAAGGTCAAGATGTGTAAACGGAGTAGGAATATTTCCCCTTTAACTTACAAGTGTCTGATAACATTTTGACCCTCAAGAGGAGGGTTAAACATGGATTTCTTGACTGTTAACAAAGGACTGAACTGCTTTTGCTATTATTAGAGCCCATACCTGTGTAATAAGATAATTATAAAATAATATAATAGAAAGACATATAATAGAGCAACATATGTATACATATATATATACTACAAGTGTGGTGTCATATGTATAGAAGATGAAAGAGCAGAAGTACACAAAAGCAAGGCACGATATGGGGGTGTAGACGCTACTCTGAGCGATGTGGCTCTTAAGGGAAATTGCCGCTGAAATTGCCTAGTGCAGTGGTTCGCAACCTTTTGGACTCCCCGTACCCCTAATTTCTTTACGCTATCTCCTGGTACCCCTTCGCCCACCATAAGCAAAATGAAGAACCAACACTGATGTATTGTCATGAAGATTTTGACATCGTGTTTATGTTTCATTAATGCAGTCACACAGCGAATTTTTCCAATCAAGCGCACTAACAGTGCACTAAACGACAGTTTAATGAGAAGACTGCTGCTGCATGGCAGAAACTAACTTTTTGAACTGCGGTTCAGTTTTTGACAGACTGACTCTCATGTCTCTGCGGATGTCAAGGCGGTTACGGGCTTTTGTCTTGATT